GCTATCCTCAGAGGGAAGTTTATAGCTCTAACCGCCTACATTAAAAAATCGGAAAGATCACAAATAAATGACTTAAAATTGCAACTCAAGACACTTGAAAAGCAACAATAAATGAAACCCAAAACCAGCAGACAAGAAGAAATAACAAAAATCAGAGCAGAAATTAATGAAATCAAAACAAAGAAAACAATACAAAGAATCAATGAATCCAAGAGCCGGTTCTTTGAAAAGATAAACAAGATTGACAGACAGCTAGCACAGTTAACCAAAACAAAGAAAGAGCTCCTCCAATTCAACAAAATCGGAGATAAAAGGGGAAACATCACAATGGACACCAAAAAGGTCTAGAACATTATAAGGGAATACTTTAAAAACCTATATACTACTAAATTTGAAAACCTAAAAGAAATGGATGGGTGTCTAAAGGCATGAGAACCACCAAAACTAAACCAAGAAGAGATTAACAGCTTAAACAGACCCATAACACAAAAAGAAATTGAAACAGTAATACAAAACCTCCCGACTGAAAAAAGCCCAGGACCAGATGGATTTACAGCAGAATTCTACCAGACATTTAAAGAAGATCTACATCCAATACTACTTAATTTATTAAAAAAGATAGAAATGGAGGGAGAACTTCCAAATTCCTTCTATGAAGCCAGCATCACTCTCATACCAAAGCCTGGTAAAGATACAACCAAAAAAGAAAACTATAGACCCATATCCTTAATGAACATAGATGCAAAAATTCTCAACAAGATACTTGCAAACCACATACAGACACACATCAAAAAGATCATCCACCCTGATCAAGTCAGCTTTATTCCAGAGATGCAGGGATGGTTCAATATACCTGTCAATAAGCATCATAAATCATATAAATGGGGTCAAAGACAAGAACCACATGGTCATCTCAATAGATGCAGAGAAGGCCTTTGACAAAATTCAACATGAATTTATGTTCAAAGTCCTAGAGGGAATTGGACTTGAGGGAACATACCTCAACATAATTAAAGCCATATATAACAATCCCACAGCCAACATCATTCTAAATGGAGAAAAACTGGAAGCATTCACGTTGACATTAGGAATCAGACAAGTCTGTCACTATCTCCAATCCTCTTTAAAATAGTGCTTGAAATTCTTGCAAGAGCAATAAGACAAGAGCAGGAAATTAAAGGAGTAATAATTGGAAAAAAAAAAGAGATGAAATTATCCCTTTTTGCAGACGATATTATAGTATATCTAAGAGATGCCAAAAATTCCACCAGAAAACTCCTGGAAATTATTAACACATTCAGTAAAGTGGCAGGTTACAAAATTAATCTACAGACGTCTGTAGCCTTTCTATATACCAATAGCAAGCAATCAGAGAAAGAGTACAGGGAAACATTCCCTTTCACAGTAGCCT